TTTTTAATGATAGAAGGTAGTGTCATTTATTTTAATTAAAATACCCCGGAAAGTTGTGTATTGTGATATAAAATATATTGTTGCAGAGGTTTAATTTGGTGTGTTATTTAAGTTGAGAAATTTAGTTTGGATTCCACCCACCAGTTAAACTCCAGCCACCCTCTTTATTTAAAGTATTGAATAATAATCAATAAAATACTGTGAACCATGAAACATGAAGATACTGTACTGTGAACCATGACTGCTAGCATCTGTCAAAAAACTGAAATACTGAGTAAGACACGAAATGCTGTCTAATGGTTTCACCAGTTTAATTAACAGTGTTAGGACGAATTTCTCAGTCTATTGTTGTCTCTGTTTTTGTTTTCGAACAACAAAAATGCCATCTAATGTTTCTGTGTTCAAGCTATGTTCAAGTAAATTCCTCTTATTTAAAAGCTTACTTTTAGATTTTGCAAGTAACCACTATTTCTCACCTAGTTTAAAAATATTTTCAATAATATACTTGTCTTACTTATAGGGAACACCGGCCATATCACCAGAAGGGTTTGACAGAGTTAATAGTAAGTATTGCAGCTATCTAAGATTTGGAAATGTTGTTTTGCGTATGCAGTACATCAATTGCTATACTAAATTCTTCATAAAAACTATTAACAACTTGCATATGATGAAAGGCAAAATTTAAATTAAAACTATAAATAAACTTAAAATGCTGTTAATACTGTTTAATATAGTATCTAGTCTAACCTAAAAAATTTATAAATAGATATCCAACAAACCATATTTTGTTAGTTGACTTCAATACTATTTCGTATTTCCTTTTTTTTTTTTTACTTAATTTTTATGGTTCAACTACTTTCTTTTTCTCTTTAAGAGTTTTTCTCTTAAACAATACAATATTCTCTTCCTTGTACTTTAAATTCAACAGCTCACTATATATTTTAACTAAATTGTTAGATTTTAATAAAATTGAAATTATTAAAAATTGGTTTATTACATTGAATTTAGTACATTTACAAAAGGTAAGTACATTGTCTTTGTTTACATTATATGCATATAAAAAAATAAAGACAATATATATATATATATATATATATATATAATATATATATATATATATATATATACATACATATATATTTAGCTGTATATATATATATATATATATATATATATATATATATATATATATATATATATTATATATATATATATATATATATATATATATATATATATATATATATATATATATATATATATATATATATATATATATGTTTAGCTGTGCATGAAAAATATAAATGGTTGTCAATGGCAATTATAATTTCCCTATAATAAAAATTTTAATAAATAATTAAAATTAAAATTAAAATTATATTTACTAAAGATTTGTCTTCTTCTGATAGAACAATCGCTTGTTTGTTTTTCGATTTTTTTTTTTTTTTTTGATTTCGATTCTTCTTGAACTTTTTCTTGATTACTTTTAGAGATAGTTTTATCATCAGATTTGTAAACATTCTTGTCATTTAAACTATCTATGCATTTGCTTTCTATTATATCTGATTTAAAATGGTTTTCAATTTTATGAAGCTTGTCTTCAGGAGCAGACGTAATCTAAAGATATATTATTAATCTTGTATATATCTTGTATAAACAATCTAACTACACGAGCTTTTCAACTATTCGAATATTAAATTTAAAAAATGAAAATATTTGAATACTCAAATACTTATCAAAAAAAATGTTTATTTCAAGTAAAATAAAGTATTAACAGAAATAATGAATAATAATAGTTCAATAAAAATCATTAAATAAATAATTTTTAATAATTTTATTATTCTTTTCAATTTTCTAAAAACATATAATTTAAAAATAAAAGAAAATTGAACTTTTCAAAATTTAAGCTTGTCCTTCTGTTTTAATTGAACCTTCTGTTTAAAATACTCTTTCAGAAGCTGTTAAGGTTGGGTGAATTGTTATTAAAGCGTGATGCAAAATGTGTTATTGATCGTCTTTTAAAAAAATCTAATTGACAAAACTCTTTCTTCAGTTCAATATATTTATCAGTTTGGCAACAGTTTTGTGTGTTTCGTGGATCTGAAATAAAACTTATTTCATTTTGGAGTTCTTTTTCCATTTCTTTTTTGCAATCAAACTTGTGATGTTATTTCTATTAAATAATATTTGGTGAAAAAGAGTTAGCTCCGGCTGAATATTGACATGCTCATCTATAAACATTTGTGGATTTGTTCCATAATTTTAACACCAAATAAAAATAACGCATTTTTTGAGGAATAATTAAAATGATTGTTAAAACTTATATTTCCACTCTGTATAAAGATTATCAGAGTCATTAAAGTTGTATCTCTTATTTTGTCCGTCCTTATTTCGATAGAATGTATCAGTTTTTTGGTTATACTAGTTTGCATTGGTTCCAACTTTTCAAAAAAAAATTGTAAATTCCTTCAGCTGTTGTGAGATTTGCATCATTTTTACTATAGTTTACTTTATTACGGCAGTTTCAACTGGTGCGTGAAAATCAACAAGGTTTTGTAGTGCAAAATATCATTTTCTGAAATAGGATCAAAATTCAATTTGATTAAGGATTTAAAACATTCTGATAGAATAAAAATTGCTAAATTACTTCACTAGAGGAATTCCATTGAGTTTTTATGTCTAGTTTTAACTTGAGTTTTTTTCCCCTTTATTTTAGTTATATTTTGTTTCAAAATAGAACGCTTTGTAGCCAATTTTTTAAACATTCTTATATCTTCTCTTAAATTGTGGATAATTTGATCAAAATCAGTATTCAATACCATAGTATACTCATTTTTTTCACCAAAATCTAAATTGCAATCAGAGTACTGATCTTCTGTGGAATCTTCTTCTATTTCTTCTTCCATATCATCACCAACCAAATCTTCAACATCATCTAAGATTTTATCTGGAATATAATATTTTGGTATATGCAAACAATTCATCACGGCTAAATGCAGTGCATGATTATGACAAAGTTGATTTAAAACACTTAACAGATCATATTTTTTTAATTTGACTGCTGCATTGTTAGTTGATGTAATAACCTCATTTTTTAAGAAAATTTCAAAGTCTGCCAACTTAGTTTTTAAAGATTTAGAAAGCTGTTCACTGTACTTTGACAGTAAATGTATCAGCCAAGAACATTAAGTTTTAGTGTTAAAAAAAAAGAAAAGTTAAGTTACAAGCAATAAATCTACCAGACAGAAAAAAGATTTTTTTATTAATGTTCTAACAGCTCTCTCTCTCTCTTCTTGATGAATACAATTTAAATATATGTCAATTAGAATGTAAACACTGGAGAAAGGAATATGATTGTCAGTTAGTTACAAAGATGTTTTACTGAATAAATAAAAATTTATTTAACAAATAAAAAATATAATTATTACACTCTAAATTATTGCATAATACTTTTTTTTTTATGTAATGAATATACATTATATGAATTAATTACTTTAATATATTATTTATTTTTATTTTGGAATTTTTAATTGATGTAATAGTTCTTAAAATGCCTGCTTCTATTACAATAAGAAAATATTAATTATTTTTTATAAGCAGTAAAAAGCAAGGTTTAACAAAAAGACATGGTCTTTTAGACCTATCAACATTTTCAAGTGATGAAAAATACGAGTTATTATGGAGAGCTGGTTTAATTGATTATTGAAAATTGTTTACAAGAGTTTGCAATTATCATAGAAAATGCTTTAAATTTGTATTTGAAAAAAAATTTCAGAAGTGCTGTAATCTATTTAAAAAACATGTAAATTGAAAGAAAAACGTAAAAGACAATTTTGATATTATTTTGATGATAAGAATAGTGATTAAATAAACTAAAGAAATAATAAGACAAATAAATGCTTTTTTTTAAGTTTAAATCTTTTTATAAATTTAAAATTTTAATATTTTATGAACTAGTAAATATGCTAATATGTTCTTTACAACGATGCTTAGTAGATATTAGTTTTTAGAAATGGTTTTTTCTTTTTTTTATAGGAAAGGTGAAATGTGATATTACTATCAATGGCATTAACTCTTAAAACACAATATATACCTGCTGTATATTATGCAGTTGTTGTACATTATGCAATTGTTAAAACACAAAACTGCTGTACATTATGCAGTTGTTGTACATTATGCATTTGTTTAAACACAAAACTGCTGTACATTATGCAGCTGTTGTACATTATGCAGTTGTTAAAACACAAAACTGCTGTACATTATGCAGTTGTTGTACATTATGCATTTGTTTAAACACAAAGCTGCTGTACATTATGCAGCTGTTGTACATTATGCAGTTGTTAAAACACAAAACTGCTGAACATTATGCAGTTGTTGTACATTATGCATTTGTTTAAACACAAAACTGCTGTACATTATGCAGCTGTTGTACATTATGCAGTTGTTAAAACACAAAACTGCTGTACATTATGCAGTTAAAACTGCAGTATATTATGCAGTTGTTAAAACACAAGATATTCCTGCTGTAAATTATGCAGTTGTTGTTACAAAAGGGTACAGAGTATAAATAAAAAATTAGAATCAAATGATCAATCCTATAGCAGGATTGAGTCTGAACATGAACAACATGCACCTCTCAATAAAAGTCTTGAATCTATGGGTGTGTCACCTATTAGGCTTAAATCAGCGCTAAAACATCAACAGTTTCTTTTGCCGAAAAAAAAATTTGATCAAATAAGTGAAGCAACAACAAAAAAAATAAATAAAGCTTATAATATTGGTTCTATGATTAGATTGATATCATCTTGTACACCACCAACCTCTTCATTTGATAACCATAAAATTGACAATCTAAACTCAGTTTTAAATGAATTAAAAGATAAACTAAAAAATGTGACATCATACTCTGCAAAAATACAGGTATTAACATTAACTCCAGAACCATGGTCACTCCAAAAATCTGCAGAATTTTTTAATGTACCTTTTTACCTTATACAAGAGGCTATAAAAACTAAAAAATATATAGAATTTTGTATAAACCATCATTAAAAGAAGGAAAGATGATTTCCCATGAAACCATTAATCTTGTTCATAGTCTTTATGAAAGTACACGCAAATGAAAAACACGCCTGGAAAAAAAGATTATGTCAGTATAGGATACAGGCAACACATCCAAAAAAGTCTGATATTAAATCATTTTTATGTAGCATTAAAATCTGAACACTCAACAATTTAAATATCGGATTTTTAATGTTTTGCAGCCTTTGCCCAAGATGGTGTGTAACCACAAGCACGTCTAGCAAACACTGTTTGTCTGTATCTAACATCAGAATGTTGACACTTAAAATTGACAAAGACTATAGAGATTTAATAGGAATGATTGTTTGCAATAGGGATAATGCAGAGTGCATGTTACATCAATATGTATGCTATATATATATATGCTATGTCCTGGTATTACTGCTTTATAAGATTTCTTAACAGTAAAACTTGACAACAGCGATAAAGAAGTAACAATTAACCAATGGCAAGGTACAGATAGAACTACACTGATCAATCAAAAAATCAATATCAAAGATGTTATTGACCGTATATTCAATAAAATAGATAAACTAATATCTCAATCACTTATAGCTGGTCAAGCCAAGTACCTTAAAGATTATAAAGAGTTATCAAATCACAAGTGTATAATATTGAGTGACTTTGCAGAGAACTTTAGTAATATCAAATTCTTCACTGATGTATGTGCAGCACAATATAAATATTTTAACAATTTAATAATCACATCACAAAGATAACTTTGATATTGATGCTGAATGGGTTTTTTTTTGCTGGTAAATCTGTTTGTGATGGCATTGGGGGCACAGTAAAATTAATAACTGCACAAGCCAGTTTAAAAAGGACAGTGACTGGGCAGATTTTAGATGTAGATAAGATGTTTGAATTTTGCATAACCAATATAAAAAACATTCAATTCATTTTGCTTTATAAATCAGAAATGAAGTTCAATCATTATTAAAACACATTAAAACATTATTAAAAGATTTACAATGAGAAGAACATTGCCAGGAACAAGATGCTTCCACCATTAACCCAGTTAACAAATGTACAATTTCTTTTTAAAAGGATGTCGAAAGTCAAAAGAATTTCTTTTTAAAAGGATGAGTCAACAAACTGATGTTCAGACATTTAATCTTGTGCAGATACCAAATGAGCTGGTTGTGCAGCAGATTATTTATAATCATATGGACTATGTAGGTTGCAAGTATTTTTGGAAACAATTTTTGGTGGATTGGAATTATAACCAAAAATAATAAAAGAGAAGGAGATTATATAATTCAATTTATGCACCCACATAGTCCCAGACCAAGTTTTTCTTGGCCCACATAGTAAGATATTTGTTGGGTCCCATCAAATCATGTTTTATGCACGATTGACACGCCATCTACAACAAATGGTCACATATATAAAATTTCAGAAACTAAGTTAGAAAAAATTATTGAACAAAATAATAAAGATTTATAGAAAAAATTTCTAAAGCTTTCTTTTCTTTCTAAAAATTTCTAAATTTCTTATTTTATGCTTATTTTTATATTAGTATGTTACTTTTTCAAATGTAGTTAAGGTATAACTTTATGAGCTATCCTCAGGTACAAAAAAAAAAAAAGAATTAAATTATAAATTTATTTTTGCCCTCAAAAATACTTTAACTACAACTTTTTACAACATAAAATTAAGATTTAGCTAATTTTGTCATAAATATATTAGCAAAAAATTTCATGTTGACACAGCATATATATAAATTTACTTAAAAGACTGCATTTGGAAAAGTCGAAAAATGCAGTAATATATTTTTTATTAATAGTGATGTTTGATACCTTTACTGTAAGTTATAACAATGCCTCAAAAAAATTATTGAGGCGACATCACCATTTTGACCATCAAAATACCCCAAAGTATCTAACTTACATGTAAGGTCGTCAAAAATTTTCAATTTGATATTTGTATCCACAAGGTGGAAGATTGTCTATGTACAAAATCCCACCTTCTTTTTTTTTTAAACATCTTCGCTTCTAACAAGGCTGCAAGCAACCACTAATTAGTGTTGGAAGTTACTGGAAGAGAAAAGATGAAGACTGTAGAGCAAGATAACGATTGACCTTAAGTACATGTATACCTCATTTGGTTCATAAAATATTGCATTTAACAACAAAAAAGTATTTTGCAAAATATGTTGAGTCAGCATAAATAAGAAAATTGAATCCTAAATATTTCAAGAACTGTAAGGAATTGGAGGTTCCAAATTTCAGATTTTCCTAATTTTTATAAACCCTATAACATATAAAAAATAAGCAAAATCCAAAACATTGGGGTGGCACTTTTTCTATTAATTTGACATGGGAATACCATTAAGTCAGTTGATGTATAAACACTTCCTGCATTTTTTCCCTATTTATATATTTATTTATAGAGAGATAAAAAAAATATTTATGTATATAT